CTGTACTTATGATAGTAATACTAGTACACATGGACCATGCCGTACAAAAACCTGTAGGAAGGTTAAGATGTATAACATTGCATTTCATTGATTCTACATCCCTTTATTTCAGTCTTTATTCTCTTAATTTTTGATTCTCTCATTTTTGATTCATTCATTTTGTAGTTTTTCAGATAACATCATCCATATCTAGCCATTTATATATTTATCTGTTCAATTTCTAATTATTTATTGCTACAATCTTTTATTCATTCATCCTTTCAAATATCTCATCTATTCATCCATCCCTTTGTTCATTTATCCATAAATTCATTCAACATTCAACCAAAACTATTCAAATTCAATTATCAAAAGGATACGTCCAGAATAAAAGATAGGTCTGTATATAAAACAAGCAGTTAAGAAAAATAGATGACTTAAAGGTCTTTGATATATTTCATTTTTTTGTAAGAAGATGTTTAAACACAATATAAGGAAAGATAATGAAAGAAAACACACTGTGACGTTTCTGTGTCGCCATGGTGCCCTTATCAAGAAATTTATGATCATAGTTCAATATAATGATATACAAGTGAAGAGTGAAATGATTGAATAAATTAACATAAGCTCCAAAAGAAAGTTTCTTTTGTCACTATTTTTAGTTTGGAAAAGGATACAAAAATTCCACCTAAAATTCCTGATGTACTAAGATCCCACCAYGACACAAAGTACTTGGACCATTTTGAACCAGCTTTCCAACAGATGAACACAGACATTAATATTGACGCAACAAAGTAGAAAACAAACCCTTTAAGACCTGTTAAACCCAKTATTCCTGCAGATATGCCTGCCATGGCTGCCAGAGAYGTCCGACTAAAGACAAGGAAAAACAATAATTCTCAAAGTAGAATAACTTTTTGACCATTTTTTTCTTTTTTATGATCTTATGCACTAGTTGGGGTTCCTGTGGACACAGTAATCCCAATTAGTATATCGTGAAGGACTATATTACATATACATACTTACCAAAACTCAATAATACTATTGTTATTCATAATAGCAAAAGGGCTGTATGCCTCCTTCTCCTTGTCTGAATAGCAATCAATAAAGATCAGTATGAATCAGATCAAAATACATATAAATTATATATATATTAATAATATTTATTCATATTTATTTTTTCAAAACTAAAACAGGAAAACAATGCAGTGGATACATTTACAGTAAACTATAATAAGATATTGTGCAGATTGCTAACTTTTTTCAAAGAGCTGTCTTTTGGAWTGARCAATATTYTTTTGATTCACACACATTTCTTTAGTTTTAACCAGCTGAAGCCGAAGATACTGTGATGCCAGAACATTGTTTTTTATTCATTGTAAACCGATTTAAAACGGCTGTCTTTTATTTTGATCACACTACAGCTAAGCAATGAATGATTTTGAAATGAATAACTAAATTTTTCAAAGCTTTTTCAAGCTTACCAAATAAAGACGCTTTTTAAAAACAAATAAGACAGGAAGGAGGCACAAAATCAACTCATTTTAAATACACAATCATTAACGAAGACAGCTGGGATATTAAGTCGATCTTTGTTATCTTTGTTAGTAAAACAGAGTGTTTTTTTGTTCAACAAACCTTGTAAATGCTCTTCTTCCGCCATTTTGAATCCTACTTCTCACGGAGATCTCCACTGACCACATATCTATGCTGGCCCGTAAACGTTTTTCACTGGGCTCGAGATTGCTTTCCCCAGGTGCATATTTTCTATTCTTTTCTATTCTTCTTTTCTATCTTTCTTCAATTTCTGTTTTCAAAGATTGAAAATCGTTTTTTTACAAGTTTATTGTCCTTTCATATAAAGTGACAATTATTTCGCAATCACAGCTGATATCGTGGTGTTGCGTTACRTATCTTCGTGACCGTGTTATTATGCTGTTGTGTTACAGAGTGTTCGCAGCGTGCTGACAGGAAAACTTTGACCTCCGAACGAGTTCTCTAAAAAATCTGCTAAAATAGTCTGAAAAAAATCACAACAAAGCACGATAAAAAGATTTTGTAGCAGAAAATCAGGTAAATTTAATCTATTTTCCATTGTTTTTAGATTTCCGCTGTTTCGATCGAGCTTGTGAAATCACCCCCAAAATTACACAATATTAGCAATATCGTMATATTTCGCTTGTGTCAGCTSAAAAACACATAAACAARTCAAGAATAGTTCATAAAATGGTGTCCAATGGCTTAATACCATTAAAATCTTTTATTAACGGTTCCATTTTAAAATACATTTTGAATTTATTTTTTTGGGTGACAGTGAAATTACTGAGGTTGTTCCGCGCAAGCGTGCACTTGGATCAGCCGATTGTAAAATCACTGGAGGTATTGTCTCAAGAGGGCAAATAAAGATAAGCGGACTGAACTTTCGCCGTCTGTTGCGAAATTGACACGCTGCGCAGCTTTCCCATTTAGCTTAACTATAAAGTTTTGCTTGCAAAGATCTGAACCTATATTTTTTGGCTTAGTCAACTTTATGGAAGTCACAAACAGAGCTTTTGACGGACGAMAAGATTTTTCGTCCCCGTGGYACTTCAGCGATGTRGTTCTCGTTGTGGAAGGACGTAGMTTTCACGTRCACAGAAGTACGTTATCAATGTGGTCCCCTGTTTTCGAGAAAATGTTCAATTCACCTTTTGCTGAACGCAACGCAAAAGAAGTCCCGTTACCAGGGAAACAAAAGGATGAAATCGAGGTTCTTCTAAGAGTGATATATTCAAATGGGACAAAAGAGAAAGTGAATGGTAGGATTATTTTTCCCATTTTCACTATTACTGCCDTCGTTGTTATCATGTATTTCCATTATTAGTAATCATCATCATTGTCATCAATCATTATTGTTGGCACAGATGTATCATAAAGTACAAGTGTCAATATCCTGGAAGAGTTTTCCAGGATAGTTAACTGGAGTAAAAATCATTAAACAATACTTGTAGCCCTATAAAAGTTTAGGCAAACTTTGTGTTGATCTGTTGAATCATGGTATATTTTTCCCTATTTGCAGAGGATAACTACTTTTTCCTACTGGAACTTGCAGAGGAATATCAGATGGACGAAGTCAGGAAGCTTTGCATTCAGTTCATGACATCAGCAGTTGAAGAATCAAACTGCTTGCATTTGTGCAATGTTGCAGAAAGATTTTGTTTGAAAGATGTCATGGCAAAGTGCATAGAGGAAGCACGATACAGGGCATCAAAATCACTTCTTAGTGACGAGGATTATGARGACCTGACWCCAGAGCTTAAAAATGAGGTTTGCATGGAAAGAATTAAAGAACTTGAAAAGTTTCTGCAAGAGTATACAACAGCTTGCTCTAGATTAGTAGAGCGTGTTTATCATACAACAGCAGAGCGGTTGCTTCAACAACAAGCATGTGACAATATTGAGGATCATCGAGCTTATGTAACTGTRTCTCATGGTTTTGTTGCCAAGAGTGTTCCAACGTTTGACGTTGACTGTAAGTGCTGTACTCAGAGGGTAGAAGAAGCTGACTGGAATAAAGTTGGAGCTCATTTTTATGTTTTAAAAGATTATCTGCCAAAGCTGCATGCCTTGCAACGTTCAAATAGAATTGCAGCAGGCATAAACTAGGATATCTTTTGCCACACACAAAGTGGTGTGGAAAATTGTGGTAATCAAAAACAAAATTAAAAATTACATGCCAATGATGCTCCTCAAACTGCATTAACAACAACTTCGATGGACACAAAGGAGCATTGTGTGCTTCACAGAAAAAGGTACTACACAAAGAAAATAGTACCTAAAACATTGTATTTGATCATAACCAAAGTAATACACTGAATTGAAAACAAGTGTAGAGACTGCAGACTTAATGTAATTAATTTTATAAAAAGAAAAAATCAATTTGAACTTAAATGAAGGACAGCATTATATTAATGTTTATGGAGTACAAACATTAAAATGTGTGCAACACTTTCCACTATTTACTACAAAATAGTGTTAATTAAACAATAGAATTAGCATGATTTAGCAGTATTTAGTGGTATTTATGTTGCAGCACAGTTTTAGTGTTTGTACTCTAATATCACGTCTACGCAAGTGGCAGTTTCTTGCAAATCGTAGGAGACACTTTTAGGGCTAGATAAGGCTACAGTGTCAAGGGAAGTCACCGATGTGTCGAATGCCATTCATAATGATTGCTCTTCGATTTTACGTGACGTAGACTCAATTAAAGGTTATTCATGTCTAAGAAAATATGAATATCATGGAAAACTGCATTTATAAGTTATATATTACTAGTACAGGAGGTTGTTAACATTATCATTTTTTCTTCTTTTCTTTTCAAGTTATTTTTTGTTGGAAATAAAAACATTAAATTATTGAGTGGAATTGATTATGTCATGATTAAGATACAGTCATCAAAGCATCAACAAGTATATACAACACTTGGAAATATAATCATAATAATATCCTTATTAGCCTGCGTAGCTGGCCCTTTTACAGTGGCGGATCCAGGGGGGTTTCTAGGAACCCCCCTTGAGCATAAAAAATAAAAAAAAAGTAGCTGGCTTATATCTTAGGCAATAGGTAAGCGGTTTATATTACACTTTTACCACATTGGCTGCTATGTACCCACACAGAACTGTAAAGCGTTTTGAGACTTTAAAAGATGCACTGTCTATAACTTACACTCATGTTACATTTGCTACAGTTCGAGAGGCACAGTAAAAAAGTTCGTTTTAGGAAAATGCGAAAACAAAGTGGAACCCCCCTTTGAAAAATCCTGAATCTGCCAGTGTTTTGAGAGGGGCCTCTTAGGGACGGTCCATTTAACTTTTGAGGGGCGAGGGTGGATGATTTTGAAAAAAAAAATCCTGCAAGCCATCTTCACCAAAAATACAAAATTGTGCACAACATTTGGACGCAAAAAAAAATCTTGCAAAAAATCAAGTCGATTGTATACTATGCCGGGCGGCGAAGAAGCTTTAAATTGTCAACTGAATTCGGTTAAAAGGAAGAATATCTACACCTAAATACAGTAAAGTATCTTTGATTAGACTGGATTTACATTCTCCAATTATTTTGACTCCCGGACATATAAGGTTTTCGTGACATTCTGTCCGGGAGCTTGTCCATAGACGTGAAAAAAACCTAAGTGCCAAGTCGATTGTACACTATGCCGAGCGGCGAAGAACCTTTAAATTGTCAACTGAATTTGGTCAAAAGGAAGACTATCTACACCTAAACACAGTAAGTATCTCTGATTAGACTGGATTTACATTTTACTGTGATTTTATTTTGACATTCTGTCACGGGTCCCGGCCACACACTATTCTTTGAAAATGAACAGAAAATTGAAAAAATGAAATAATAGATAAAGAAAGAAAAATGTGAATTAGGAATTCATGAAATCGAGAGCATGAAATTAGAAGGTCAGTAAAACCAGAGTTAGTAGAGGAGACTGTCTCCTCTACTAACTCTGGTAAAACAAAGCGTATAGTCCGATTAACGAAATTAGCATACGTAACGCCACCCAGACAGCTGTGACGTCTGTCACGCAATCGATTTGTTTTATCAACAACAAAATATATTCGGCACATTTTCTGTCACGTATTTTTGCATCAAGACTCTGATCATCATTGATATAAGGTGTTCTAAGAGTTATAGCTAAACGGTGAGTGTTACTTTGATTGAAAATAAACACAATTTGAATAAATACAAACATATAAAACGGTTAAGTAGACAGTCAACACTCGATCTGCATATAAAAAGTTCGCGATACTTTAAGACTAAGCTTTCAAATTTGCTCAAACCTTTTAAGTTGAAGTGTTTTGCGCCTTTTCGCTTCAAGAGACAAAATAAATGATAAAGTTTTGTGAAACTGACTCCTCAAAGATTATATTGTGGAACTGTGAAACATGGATATTTTGTGGATATGTCACGTTTGTCTGGATTTTTGTGTGAAACCTCCACTTTTCAGACAACGTGAGAGTCACTTTGAGTTGCACATGATTGACAGGTTGTCAAATTGATACTGAAAAATTCGGCTTTAATCAATTCAATTTTTTTATATGACGTAATTTCTTTTATTTAATCATGTGACATAATAAGCTATAGTGATCTTGGTCAGCACATTAACATAATCAGTAAAAAACACCTAAACTTAGTAAGTTTTTCCACATACTTTTTTACGGTGTTAAATTTATCTTAGTTTACCGCTAGTTCCCACCATTTTAACATAATCAGTTTAGTGATAAATATGTCAAATGTAGCTAGGCTGAATTGTTTTAACTGCAAACTGTTAAAGTCTTTGACATCAATGAAGTTATTGATTGTTACATGTTCGGTAATGCCGTCTGCACTGCGCATGTGATGTCACAGTTTATAATATTATCATTTATCACAATACTTACTGTTTTAATAGATGCAGAGTGACACGCAAGACCACCAATCATTTGACTTTTCATCTCCATGGCACTTCAGTGATGTGGTGCTCATTGTAGAGGACACAAAATTCCATGTACACAAGAGCACTTTATCAATGTGGTCTCCAGTGTTTGAAAGGATGTTTACATCAGAATTTGCTGAGAGAACTGCTGAGGAGATCCCGTTGCCAGGGAAACATGTAAATGAGGTGGAAGTATTGTTAAAGCTGATTTATTCATATGGCAAGGTCCAGACAGTTAGCGGTGAGTTGCTTTTATTGAGATATGCCGTTCATCAGCAGCATTTGCAGCATAATATTATAGAGTTAATAAACCAATGGCTTTATGTTGATGATGGTAGACTATTTTTACTATTATTCTATCTAAAACTAGATGAAAACTACCATTTTCTTTTGGAGCTTGCCGAAGAATACCAAATGGAGAAAGTAAGAGCATTTTGCAGTGAGTACTTGTCATACAACATTCAAGAATCGAACTCCATCCATTACTACAAAATTGCTGACCGCTTTAACCTCAAGGATGTCATGATTTTATGCATTGAAGAAGCTCGTTACAGGACATCATTAATTATGGAAGATGACCAGGAATTTGAGGAATTACGACCAGAAGTGAAGCTTGAGATTTGCATAGAAAGAATCAAAGAACTGGAAAGAACACTAAATGAGTACGCAAAGACATGTTCAAGTCTGGTTGAGAAGGTTTACAAGGTTTGTGACTTTATARGTATTGGGAAAGTATTTGTGGTAAAGGAGACGGAGGGAGAGCCTGTGCAAGAGTTTATTACTGATTATTTTTAAATAAATAATTAATAATAAATCAATATTTAATACTTATTTTTTGATTATTATTACTTATGGTATTTTCTCAACAGGAAGTAGCTGATTCAGCTCTAGCRGCAATCGAGTGYGACAACCATCCTGTACACCGCACAGGRTCCCGCGAACCATTYAAGATGTCATGCAAGTGCTGCCGTCGCAGAGTGCAGAATGTTGACTGTGTGATTCAATACAGTGTGCTCAGAGAAATGCTGAAAAAACTATTTGATTTAGAGCATTCTAATCGSATAGCAAGGCGAGCCAAAAACTCTATTGACTGAGCACGATAAMCTCCAGCTCTTCCATTGACAAGGGCTATGCAACTATTAGAAAACAGACTCATCACTGTTACTAGCTACCTTGTTSCTGTGCATACAAAAGATGCCTGAAGGGGAAAATATTGACTCCCTTGAACAMAGGAGAATGATGGGATATGAAAACAGTCCTCCTTATTTGGGAAAACTTATCAAAGAGATTAAATTATAGAAAACTGTTCAGAAAGAAAAAAAAAACGTTTTTTATGAATCCTTATAAAATATTATGTTAATAGAAATGTAAATACATCAACATTAATGTACCATTTTTGCTTGTAAATTCATTTTGTTGTATATTGAGCATGACAACGGTTGCTAGGGTCCCAGTAAAAGCAATATACCATTCACTATCTATTGGACGACGAAGTCAAATCTAATGGTGTTGAGATTCTAAAGATACTTGGTAACATGTTGGAGACAGTGTTAAACATGTCTACTGAGATTCCTTTGGGTATCATGAACTGAACATTAAGAGACTCCACACCACTCCATGAAGCACATTCCATCATGAAACCTAGACATAAAAACCTTGTTAGAACAATGCACCTTATTGGCTGAAATTAATATTGCATTTAGCAAATAAACTGAGGTATTACTGCACATTAAGAAACAAAAATAATATAACTTCAGAATTATATGACAAACTGTACTAAAACCATGGGCTAGGTGAACGATGGGTAAAATTATCAACTTTTTATATGATTTTACATGGATTTGATCCAGGAGATAAGGATCTATCTTAGCTTCCTCCACAGCCATCAATAAGAGTCACAGGATTCCTGTGTTTTTTTTTGGGGGGGGGAGTCAAGATGCATTACAAAGGAAGCCCAAAGGAGGAAAAAAGAGTTGCCTGGAAAGGAGGCTATCTGGTACAGTAAAACCCACAGCCCCAGTARCTCACCTTTGACACACTTCAATACAAGTTCAGCACGCTTGACACACCAGTTAACTGTCATCTCATCAGTCATGTCATGGAAAAGCAGTAACGGTATRGTTATYGTTGTGATATTGTATCGTACWGCTGTGTGTAATATATGCCTTAGCCCTACTATGCACGGATTACGACTATTTAAGGACAGCGACTTCACAGCATCGTCAATGACAAGATGAAAGACRACCTGTGCTTCAGCCAAGTTTGAGTGTCGGGTTATGTAGAAGTCACCTTGAAAAACAAACAAAAAAACAAAAAACAACTAAATGAAAAATGAATGAAAAAGTGAATGAAAGAACACCAGTAAAATGGATGGACAAAAAAATATTGACCACATCAACAGATGAATTGAACAAAATGAATGAAAGAATAAATGCATGAATGTTAATACTCTATACACTCAGCTGTCTTGCTCAAGTAGTCTCTCTCATGCACAGTCAATGCATCATGGAATGAGGAAAGAAAATGATTTCTTGCATTCGTTCTCTCTTTCCTTCCCTCAAAATATGATAATCCAAACTTAAAAACTTTTAAAAAAGCAAGAACAAAGCAAATTTTAAATGAATAATTAAGTTACCTGATTTAAGCGTAGGAACTTTAAGAGCATTGTCGTCATTGGATCTTATGCTTGTGGTTGACTTGGTGCGATTTCTGTTTTCAACATTTTGTTGTATCAAACAAATCTGTTTGTCCAGGTCAGGAAAATGAAACTCTGTTGATTGCTGACATATTGATGCAAACTCTACAGGACAGGAATGCAGTATTATAATCTCTCATGTCAATCAATTGATCAATCAATCAATMATTTGTTCATTAACTAAATCCATCAATCAAATTAACCAATCAATCAAATCAATCAATCAATGAATCAGCCAATCACAATCATTCAATCACTACCCATCAATCATATCAATCCCAGAMATCAACCAATCCATAAGTGTTTAACAATCAAATTTTATTTCAAATACCYGTCAGTTTTATGGTACTGGTATTTATAATTTGCCATCATCATTAYCATTATCATYATRTTACCTTTACTAATCCCAGTATAAATATCCAATCTATTATCAACCAGTAGAATAACTCCTGTAAGTGACTCTGAGTACAGAGAAAACGCTGTCTGGATTCTGTGAGGGTGTGAGAATACTGACCTACACATACAAAAAATCATGTGTCAATATTACCCTCATTTAGGAAAAGGATATATTAATTAACTGAACAGAAATAGACCAAATACTCAGTTTTGTTCCTTCTACGTGTGTTTTAATATTCCGAGCTTTCGGACAACTTGTCCATCATCAGGGCAAAATGAAATTACAATGCGTACGCGAGGATACAAATGTACGTACGAAAACATTTTAAAACAGAAATAGACCAATCCCGAATTCGCTTGGATGAACACAGAACAATGGCTTCATTTCAAGACTGAAGCTTTCAACAATAGATAAAACTCCATCCTTAGAATCAAGCCATTGTTTCGTGTTCATCCAAGCAAATGCGGGATTGGTCTATTAAAAAGGAAATTTAATCAGAGAGTACTCGTGATAATTCATGGTGGCCTACCCTGGAGTGGCTTTGTGTTGACACATGTCCAGAACATCTCCACAAATCAATCGTAAGTTGTGCATTGTCTTTTGTTGTGCTCCTACATAAAAMGASGAACATTTCAAATTAAAGTAAGTGTGACACAGCAGCTTTATCGGGGGCATTTATAGTGTACTGTTCCATCTTGAAGCGGCTTTGAAATCAAGTGAAAGACTGCCGATTATACACACAGTTTACAATGTTTTTTACCAAGGTGAATCGTAAAACTCTCCTCCATTCTTGTCTCTGGTTCAGACTGGAACTCCTCAGATGTTGAGCTACTTAATGTTGACACTGTTCGAGTTCTAATAAGATAAAATAACAGAAAGAATGAAGTCTATTTAAAGTTAGTAATAGTAATATTGAAAAGACAACAAAAAATATTTGAATATAAAAGTTCACWTATGACAATGTTTGTACTTACTTGAATTGGCCTGTTGCAAGAGATGCATCTGAAGAAAATGAACAAATAGATAAATGGATAGAAGAAATGACATAGTGATAAAGAAATATATTTTGGAATATGAAAGACAAATCCATAGATGAATAATAATTATCAGATAAATGCTAAATAGATGGATAAATAAAATAATGAGTACAGTAAATACTGTACAGTACAGTACTATGTTGCATGAATGTGGGTGAAATGAATGAATGAATGAACGGAAGGACAGATGGATGGGTGAATAATATTATCCTTACYTCCTGCTGGTTTCATAGTATCTTCATGGACTTTCATAACCCACTCCCTRTATTCTCTMTTTTGCATTTCTTGAAGCTGAGACAGTTCACTTGACCAATATGTCTCTAGCATCTACAGCATAAATCCAATATCAACGTCAGCACTCTTCCTGTCATGATGCAATGGGGCTAATATTATTRTATACCTGTGATTCTTCCATCTGTCTGGTTGCAATATTGCTGACATCTCGATCAGTATTCCCAACCTCACTGATGGCTGTCTCWAGTTCTTTTTGGTGCCTAGTATATAATTTACATGCCAGATAGTTTAAACATTTTTKTATCATGCAATGCAAAAAGAAAATTATCCTTGTATAAAATTTTTACACCACATAAGACTMACTTTTCTTGAGCAGATTTCAATGCAGAATCACGATGCGACAGYAAATCTTGCARYGACAGYGCATAAGAATTATCTAATTGCAATAATGTCTCTAATGCAGCCGAGTGGATAAGGGTATGGTATATCTCTGCAAATCTAACGTCTTCATTAGCGTCGCTTGTCTGAGAGTATTTGGAATGTTCATCTTTAAATGTGTTAGCCCAGGAGTTAATGTAGTCATTGGCTGTTTGCGTTGATTCTAGTGTTTGATTGACAGCTAGGTCTCCCATCTGGTCATAAAGRGCTATGAGGCTTTTTTGAAGAAATTTTTCTAATGCTTGGGTTAAATCTAAATATCAAAATATAACTTATGTTATTGGTATCATCATAAATAATTTATAAGCTATTATTAAAAACAATTTATTATTAACTTTTATTAAAAGCTAGTTTATTCATCTGTTACCTTCTTCCAAATAACATGGAATCTGATGTTCTTTCATCAATCTACAAGCAAATTCTTTTGCACTGATYTTTAGTGGAATAGGAATAGATACAGTCAACCTTTGAAGCTTATTCTCATCTCGAAATCCATACGAAAACTTCTCGAAAGTGTCCTCGAAAGATGTACACATTAGCATGTCTGCCATTTTGAGAGAAAAATATTACCTAAAATTGGCGTGAAAATTGCTTTTAAATGTAACTATAGCGTAGATGGAAGTTTGAGTTACATAATATATGCGAAAAGATAAACAAAGAATTTGCAAAAGGCTAAAAATCAGCTGATTTCTCGGAGAAACTGAAATTGTCAGCCTTCCTTCACTGACTTCCGAAGACCCTACGAAGATCTACCGACAAAACACTATTAACACAGGAAACCCAAATCAACTATATACAAATAGCTTTTTTTTCTTGTTTTTAAAGGGTGTGATAGTCACCAAWGATTTGTTAGTGTTTCACGCGTTGGTTTTATCTATCTGCGTCTTTATATTCATATATTATTGTATATTTAATATATATGAGGACGCATGGGAGTGTTTGTTTTATTGGGATCCCTGWGTAATAGGTGTCGAATTTCGAGTCCTTTTGCTCGAGTGTGGCGGGATCGTGTTCTCTGAGTGCCAAATTACTAAATTAACCACGAGGGAAGGTATATTATCTCTCATAAAGACGCGATTTAAAGGAACAGCCTACAAAGAAGGTATAAGTCAGAAAAAACTGCTTGAAAGTCGATACACGAAGAGGAAAAACCTCTCGCCGACAAAGCAATTGCATGGCGCGCACAGTCAACAGGACGGCCGCGCTATTTTCTGACAAAATTGGACTGCAAACAGTCACGATTTTATATTCATCAAGTTTGTATCCCATTTGAGAAACTTRTGGTTTCGTTTCTAATAGTTTTTCTACACATTTGGTGGGTTTTGTTATTACTTGTCGATTTCATTTATAAAATGCAAAAAAATGCAAGTTTTAGGTACMCTGGAAACCAGAGGCTGCAGAATATAATACTCTTTCTTGTAGTTTATTTACGGCGCAAAACGCCATCCTTGAGGTTCTGGTTCTCAGAGTAAGTTTTAGGGGAAATTCCGTTATATCAATCCCGTACTTGAGCCAGCGTTCTTTGGTCAGTGACGAGATTGATTGACAAATTTTTATTTCTTTACAAATATTTCTGTAACCAGCGGCTAAAAACTTGGCAACACATAAACCTGACACTTAGGGGGAAAAAAACCCTGTCAATTGACATTCAGTTGTTGTTTTTTTAGCAGAACTGAAGTATTAATGGCAGCCAATCAGCCTCCTGCTAAAGTACTAAAATTAGATGGCAGTRACTCTGATTCAGATGAGGAGATTTCAAAATCAATTGATTTCAAGGAACCGTGGCACTTCAGTGATGTGGTACTTGTAGTCAAGGACCGCAAATTCCATGTCCATAAGAGCACTCTTTCTATGAATTCCCCTGTRTTTGAGAAGATGTTTACGTCAGGGTTCAGAGAAAGAAAAGCTAAAGAAATCCCTCTTCCTGGAAAAGATCCTGATGAAATTGAAGTACTTCTAAACCTGTTGTACCAAGTTAATACAGACCAGGAAGTGCACTGTAAGTGAGACTGCTGACCTTGTTTAGTAAAAGTTATTGAAATGAAAAATTATCAGTTGTAGTATCAATGCCGTTTGTTATTCTGAATTGTATGATTCATTAATTCACAGTTCCAGGTACCATCTTGAAAGTTAACCAAGCCTTTCCATCAAAGCGCGCGAGGCAGGAGTTGAGTCTGCAGTGATAGATACCTTTTGTTCACACCCAAGACAATTATTCACAGGTATCTATCACTGCAAGCTCTACTACTGTCTCGCTTTGATGGAAAGAATCAGTAACCTTAGAACTTGGAACTGTAAAATGAAGTATTATAGGGTTTTTTCCTTTCTTTGAACTCATTGTAAATATGTATTTTTTTTCTGTCAATTTAGTTGTTTTAGAGTGCACACCACACAAGTGTGATTTGTACCTAATAAGATTTAGTTACCAATTTAGTTAGTATCAACTAACTAAGAATTCAGTGAGATGTAAACAAAGACAATTTCCTTCCAATTTCCTTCCAATTTCCTGGCATTGTGTTCATGCAACAGTGAATTCTTAGTTAGTTGATAACTAAATCTTATTAGTTGTTGATTGTTCAGAATTGTTTCATGCTTTTTTGGTGTGCACTCTATAGTATTTTCACACTTTGTTGTCTGTTCTAACAGGGGATAACTATAAGTTTCTTCTTAAACTTGCTGATGAGTACCAAATAGAGAAGATCAAAAGCCTGTGTAGTTCTTACATGACTAATGTCGTTGATCGTTATAACTGTCTGGAGTTCTGTAAAGCTGCAGACCTCTATGGTTTGACCGAAGTCTTAGAAGATTCCACAGACTCAGCTAAATACCTGAATCTACAATCAATTCAAGGCAGCTTGCATTACAAAGATATCAGTGATAAAGTCAAAGTTCAACTTCTAAGCTCAAGAATTGAGACTTTGGAGTCATTGTTAAACCAGTATTMCGCTACTTGTAAAAGTTTGGTGACCAGCTCTTGTGTTGCTGCGGCAAAGAAATTACATGAATCAGAGTGTTGCAACTACAAAAAGCACTCAAATGACCAAGACAGCCCTATTGCTCAAAAGAAGAAGTTTGACCCAAGCTGTCATTGTTGTAATCGGAAGCTGGAAAACAAATGGCCAGAGAAAGATGCATTGTCCAAGTGTATTAAGAACCCCATTAAGAAATTGCGCACACTTAAYGCATCCTATGATATGAACAATATTTTTGTAAAACCAGAAAATCCTGTGATCGCAGTYGCTGATTCAGAATAATTTGTACAGATTTTATTATTTTATGTTCCAATAAACATATTTTTTATTTACAATGAGACTGATAATTGTGTATTTATGTTGMGCATTGTCATTCACAATATTTCTGTTTCCTTAGTGTTGTTAGGATTATGAAATGTTCATTCTTGGGCTACCTGTTTTGCGATAAATGTCACGCAATTGTTTTGGGCTACCTGTTTTGCGTTACTTTGTACAGCGCGAGGGAAGCGTCCGCACGCTCTCTGCACTCTGTCGGGGCCGTGGGCAGTTGACGAAGAAGTGGATCTGCTGAAGACTTTGATACTAGTTTAAGGTAAGCTAWCTTTCCAATACTCTCTTTAATGTTTCAACAACAAAAAATAATTCTGTGATCCGGCGGGAAGAGGATCGTCGGAAACTTATTACTTACTTAAGTTAAATGTACATGATGTCTTTGCTTTAGGGCTGGGGATGACTCTTTTTCGTCGTCAAAGCTGTGTCGTAGTCTTATTATTTTCAAAGAGCATGAAAGGATTTTTTATCTCGTGGATCAGTAGAATGACATTTAATTTGTTGATGTTTGACAAAACCATGTAAAAATGTAATTTTCATGTCATCCTATTTATTATAAACATATTAAAATGTATCGTCTTTCACAAGTAGCGCTGAGATAGAGGCGCTCCCCCTGATCATAGCTATACATAAAGTTCAGTACATTTTGGAAATGGGTGTTCAATATTCTTTCACATATCCATAGTGCCTTCGGTTTGGGTTAACAATGTCACTCAAATGTATTTTATTTGATTACAATAACTTTTATTTAAATGAAAATATACGCGAGAATAGAAGGCATCATGGGTGAACATTTGGGGATTAAGAGACGTGATTGAGGTATCACTGTATGCACCCCCCTCCTTTTTTGTTGTTCATTTACAACATAAAATAATGTAAGATTATGGGGTCGATTATCATTTCCAGAAAAAATGAATGAAGAAAAGGACAGTAGTGGACCACATAGGAGATTTGCATCACCCTGGCACCTTAGCGATGTAGTGCTTGATGTCCAGGGACGTAAATTCTATGTCCATCGATGCATATTATCAATGAATTCCGTCTTTTTTGAGACAATGTTCACATCAGACTTCAAAGAGAAATCTGGTGCAGAGATCTGCTTACCTGGAAAAAGTGCCAAAGAAATTGGAGTTCTACTTAACATGGTATATTCTGAGAACAAAGAGTTGATGGTGACTTGTGAGTAAGCTTTACTGAATAATAGTGCATAATGATTATGATTAGACAGACGGAAAGGCATATAAGAATGCAGTTGTATTTTTGTATCTTTGCTAAGATACAAAAATGTGTGGGAGAGGGGTTGTAAAAAATGTCAAAATTATTGGAAAATTATCAAATATATATCCTCTGGTATGGATATTTTCTGGAACTATACAATATCAAATATCATCAGTCAAGCCTCGATAATAGATCTATAGTCATCATATTTTAATAATTTTATCTTTGCTGTTTTATAGATGACAACATTGAGTTTCTTCTGAAACTCGCCGATGAGTACCAAATGGATAAAATCAAGAAAATTTGTATTGATTTCATGGCATCCAACATCAATGAATATCCCGACAACTGTCTTTACTTTTGCCAAATAGCTGATCAATGCTGTCTTACAGAAGATGAATTTATCAAGAAGTGCTTAGAAAAAGCTAAGTGGCTTCCACTACCAATCATCGAGAACAGCAAACATTTTGCACAACTGAGTTCAAAACTGACTATTCAGCTCTTGCTTGAGAAAATCAAAGTTTTGGAGAAAAATAGTGAAGTTTTGCAGGAACACTACTCAACTTGTTCTGATCTTGTTGGGGTTCTTTATCAGTCTGCTTCGAAGTGCTCAGAAAAGTTCAAGCAATTCCGATGCAAATCAAGTCATCATTCCARTGAGCCAGTGTCCTCGTTTGTACTTGATTGTAAAGAATGTCTGTCAAAACTAGAGAAATCCTGGCCWACTAGTAAACCATATAAAGCAATYGAAACATCAATTAAGAGGTTGCGTTACCTGGAAACTTACTTCAAACTTGCTGCTGATCCAAGGCTTTGACTTGATTGTGAAATCCTTTAAAAACATGATATAATGATTATTGTTAATTTTCTAATGATGTTAATCAGCTTTCCCATCACCACAGGCAGTAATCCCAATCAAACAAATGGGATGGTATAAACTTAATTTTGAGGCATCTCCAACATAAAGAATATTATCTTTGCTGTTATTTCTAGAATCATTGAGTATAGTTTTTTTTCACAATCTTGAATATCAAATGAGATGTTACTGTGTGTATATATTAACATGAATATGAAAAAATCTAAATTGYGTCCTGGTGTTCCTGTAAGTACATGTGTTTTGGGTTACCTGTGTGCGTGATTCTGTCACGCAACATTTGCGCGGGAAAACTGGCTTGCCAAAGGTCAGAGATGTCTTTGTCTATCACGGTTGATWCAGAAGGTCTAACATTGTGAAATCGCAGATAAAGGTAAGTTATTATCTATCATKTGAGCTTTTTATTAGGTCACATCTGTGGTGTCCGCAACAACAATCTAAAATGGTCTAAAATCGACCAAAAGTAGTAAGCTTAACTTAAGCCTTAATTCTTTTAAACGTGCTTTTACAAACGAAACGCGGTCAAACATGCCAAATGTTCTGTGACCTTCTCTGGGCACTGAAACAAATAATAGAGGCTCATTGAAGCACAAGTAAACAAATTCAATACAAAAAAATCAAAATTTGAAAATAATTAGGAAAAAAATAGACAATACCCGACATATAGAACATTACAACTGGGCAAATTACAACGGTGCAAGAGACACGAACACTGAGGTTCTATACTACCTTTTGAACTATATGAACGCGTGCGTTCTCAGTGTGAAAGCAATTCTTACCAATAATTTTAATAACCTCATTGTTTATTGCTTATATAAGCAGCATGTCAACTGAAGAACCAGCTGCAAAGATGTCCAAAACAGATGAAGACGATCTAACTGAATCAAGTCCCTTCTCATCACCATGGCACTTTAGTGATGTGGTGCTGTTGGTTGAGGGACGCAGATTCCATGTGCACAGGAGCACCTTATCAATGTGGTCCCCAGTATTTGAGAGAATGTTCTCTTCTGAATTCAGAGAAAAGTCATTGGCAGAAATTGAGTTACCAGGAAAAAGTGCCAAAGAAATTGACGTGCTTCTGAAATTGATTTGCTTCAAGAACAAACAGAAGTCTGTTAGTATTAATTGTAAGTAAAATAGATGTGAATTGAGCAATTTTAATTGTTACTTTATATGATAGCCCCCCCTGACTGCAACCATATTATTCTCCTTCACTTAGACTTGTGACAAGTATGTAACCCCCTTCTTGCTGTTCTTCAGATAGCAACCTAAAGTTTCTTCTAAAACTCTCTGAYGAATATCAAATGGATGATGTTACAGAAATGTGTGCTGACTTTATGACGTCAACTTTGGATAAAAACAACTGYCTTCTTTTCTATGAAGCTGCTGATCTGTACAACTTAGACGAAGTGAAGTCAAAGTGTATGAACTGGGCAAAATCCTTGACCATTTCCTCAATTGAAAGGAATCAGAATTTTAACAAGATGAGACTCGAGACAAAATATGAAATTTTGGCAGAGAGAGTCAAGTCATTGGAAGGTGTTTTAAGCAAGTTTTCTACAGAATGCAATAAACTTATAAATACTACAAAACTCTCCCCGCCTGATATCAGCCTTAACTCACAAATACTACAGCTGGACCACCATATAGAGAAGTGTAATGGATTAATGCAAAGATGTCAATCAGTACTAAGGATAAGGAACTACAATAAGATAGTCAACAAAAAATAGATCTTCAGTTTGTAATTTTTAAATCAAAGACTGGATGCAGAAATGATCTTTTGTGGACAGCCCTGTCTGTAATCTATCAAGAGTAGGATCATGGGCAGCCTATCTCTTACAATGCTTGCAAACTTTTAAACATATGGACCAATACTCCAATTTTCGAGTTGGTTTGCTCTGTATTAGCCTCAAAACCAAGTAAAATATTCTTTTGTTTCATTGATAGCCTGAGAAAATGCATGGAATTTGAAAAGAAAGACAATGGAATTGATTTGAAATCTCACACATTTATTCTCACAATTAGGAATATTTTTCGCACACATGACTGGCTAACACAGAGCATTGGAGAATTCGAAACTGGAGATTATAAGACTATTTATGTATACCAACCATTTCGAAAGGTTGGATCTTTTCTGATGGATTGACATGTCCACATTTTTGAACATAAAAATTTATTCAAATTTATAAAAAAAATTATTTGTATTCCTAACATTTTTAAATATTATTACAGTTACAGTTAAATTGCACAATCTAGCTATTGTTGTCATGTAAATCATTTATGGATTTTATAAAAGGGATGTTTATATTAAAAAATAGCTTTCATCAGGGTGATGGTGAAACAGCTAGAATTTATTATACATGAATTAAAGATTATGTGTAAATCACTGAAAGCAGCATACACTTCGCTCAAATAAGTTCCACGTCTTGATAATGATTGATAGTTATACTTACATGTATGATAAAAACAGAATTAAAATAATATTGTTTTATTAAGAAAAATCTGTGATGATTTTATATAAGTTGCTCTAATTGAGTGGAGGTGGTACRTGAGAGCTTCCTAAACAAGGCTGGAAAACTATGCTTCACGCTTTACGTCTTCCTTGACAGTCTKGACAACAATGTACAGAATTATTTCATTATAATTACAAATTATCATTTTTTATGTTTTACTGTTGATCTATCACATTCAGTTCCATAGTCAAAATAATTACTTCTAACTGTTGATCTAATGTCATTATTATCTGCTGTTATAGTGACACTATTATCAATGTTACCATCTGTTGTCATAGCAACATTATTGTTTTCTTTTGCTGTCATCCTGTTTCCAAGGTTTTCATCAGAATTRCACAAACCCAATACATCCATATCGTGAAAGATTTTCTTCTTTGCTTCGTCCAAAGWCAAACTATTGTCACTAACCACCCTTGGTTTTGCTGATCTTGGACGAGCAGATCTTGGCCTTGATGGTCGTTCATTTTCCAGTACTGTTCCTGGTAMAGATAAAGTTTCTACACAATTTTCAGTGTCATTACAAGTAGCATTTGCTGTTGAAATGGTACTTCCTGCAGGTTTTGAAGAGCCACTTTGAGGCTGTTTCTCWGTTGAGCAYTTCTTCATTTCAGAATCTAAAACAGCTAACACTTTGTCCATTGAAGGCTTGAGCTCGTCACACTTAGCATTGATCTCTTTACAGAATTCATCTGCTTTTCTTCTAGGAGTTGTAGGGCTGGGATTAAGACATAATTTTTTGTCAGAATCAACATGCTCWGCTTCTGGGCAGTCACAGCCTTGTGGYTCTGGTCTTGGTGCATCATGACTCTGCYTCCACTTGTAAGTCTCTCTCTTTTGGGAAACAGATTTAGGATTATCACGTGAARAATTCTTCAGACCTGTGTCAACATGTTTACGAGACGACATAATGTTATCAACTCGTTGCTTTCCTAGTTTTGAAATCACWGCATCTAAATGGGAGTCGATAAGTTCTCTGCGTCTCTCAATAACCCTCTTTTTGTCAAGCTCTCTCTTAGATTTCAACCATTCATCATAGCTTAAAGATTTCATTTGCTTTGAAGGCTTGTCCTTAGACCCTGCATCTTCTTGTTTAGGTGCTGGTTTTGCAGTTTTTGGACGAATCTTCTTTGTTTTTTCCATGGGACGTGTATAGCTTGCCGTCTTTGGTCTTTGCGGTAGAGTAGTTGAATTTCTTGCCGATTCCCTAATGTTATCAGCATGCAAAATATCTTGAGACATACTAACAACTGTTGCAGAATCAATATTATGATCTTCAAACATTCTTGAACTTCTCAGCTTTGATCTAGAGTTGTTCTGTTTAAAAGTTTTAAAAACTTTGTACTCTTGGGAAGGGGKTGAGGYTTCATTATTGTYCTCYRAAACCATATCAAAGGGGGAGATCCTYGGGTGATTTTGCYTCCATAGTTTTCTAGCTTCTTTTCGTTTGACTTTAAACCACTCTTTWACTTTTTTCTCAGATGCTTCAAATCGTTCCAATTTCAAGCGTTCTTCTTCTTCTATTGCAGCATGCTGTGCTTTCTTTTCTTTTCTTTCTTCTTTCCTTGCTTTTCTAGCTAGTTTATTTTTGCTTTGTATCCAAGCCCGTATGACTGGATTTTTAGTGTCTTTMAGTTGGTGCTCRGAGTGAAAATCTTTTCTTGTCCCATCTGCATTTTTTGTCTTTTCAGGGAGTTTTTCAATATCTTTTTCTTCTTTCTTCTCTTCATTTGATGAATTGTTTCTTTTTCTTGTAATCTTCCTTTTTTCTGTAGACTTGCGTTTTTCTTTTTTAGTATAAGTATTTTCTTCTTCTTCGCTTATCCATTCTGTGTCTGCAGGGACTGAAAATAAAGGAAAAGCCGATAACCTAGTTTGACAGCCTTTAGATTTACAGCCTTTTGAGAAAATAACAGGGTAGGTGCCCATAGGACCACTCGAATCTTGTCCTCTCGGCGATTTTTTCGCTGAGTTTCCATCAGCATTGCTTTGATTGTCCTTGCTATTTGTCTCTAATTCTTCAGAGTCCGTTATTTCGATGGATTCATCGTCTAGAATCTGTTTTAGAAGCACAAAGTTTACTTTCGTTGGTTTGGATTTCGGTGAATCTAATTCTGTCGCGTTCGATTCACTGTCAGAGTCAGCCATTATGATATCGATAAAATGATGAAGCTTGTACGATAAAAGCTGCTTATATATTTCAAATATTATCTTTTATCTCTAATCTTGAAGACTGTGTAGTCATATTCTCCATTCCAGTCCGTTTTACAATCAAATTCAGTGTATTTGAACCCCAACTGCTCTAAATAAAACAAACATTGAAAGAGATTACCATAGCGATCGTCCAAACAAGTCCCACGAACACTTACGATGGAGATCGACGTATCACGATATTCTTCCGAAGCATTATCGATTTTCTAGCACGCGCTCTCTCCCGTCGATCGAACTCTAGAAGGCGCGGGGTACGAGATTGTGTTCCTGTAGATGGCGAGCATTTGAAATGTGAAGGTTTTTTTGAAATTCCTCGCAAATGGCGGGGTCAAAGGAAAAGAAGGATTTGTACTTTCTTGTAGAAGGTATAAAGTATGAAGGTATGTTAGATTAAAACACAAAATCAACAAAAACATCGAACTCTGACATGTACAAAAATTTTCACGTGTTAATTTCGCGGCAAATTTTAAAGTCATAAATTTGTATATTTAATTTACCTAAAATAAACGTTGTTTTTTCTCTGTTTTTGTAAGTTTGAGATCATAGTTCAAATTTATCGAGGGTAGTCTATTCTTATAACTTTTCTATTTCGATTGAGCAGGTATAATTGTGTCATTACCAAAACAACGTCTCGACAGGGGTTAAATTCGATGCATTTTGCTTCAAAATTTTATACATTTCCACTTATTCAAAATACTAGATATTTTGTCAAGGAAACTCGTCAAATTGTGGAGCTTCATATGCTTTTTAGATTCCTTTTTCATCAGCTGAAAATCAGCTGTTTTTGTACAAGACATGCACCCAGGATCACTTTATAGCAAAACGATTTTAATCGTTAAAAGTGCTGAAACAACCACAACAAGGAAAACATGGAGCATTAATCAAGGATATTAACAAAAAGAAAAAGAAGGATTCCTCTGGTATTTTGAAGGATAATATAAGAGTATGGATCACTTACAACTCTGCAATGTTTACACATCTGTTGCAAAGCCTGCAGCTGGAAAACTCATATACTTAGTCTTCTTGTTGTTTGGATCGCTACTATCACTTCTAGTATTCCTACCTGGCGTACGCTGCTTCTTCGTACGACATTCACAGTTCTGTGATCGAACGTTAAGCCATGAAAAATGCGATATGTTGGTTGGACATGTGTTGTTGTATAGAATGTACATAGGAATGTTTATTTTCTTTTTATTTATTGCTATTATTAACTGCCAAATGTCCCTGTTTTCCAGCTATGCTACTGTCATTGAAAATGGTTTATGGTTTCTCAAATGGAATCTCTTTTGCTTTTTTGTTTTAATATCGTTATTAATTCCAGAGGGAGAGATATGCAATACTGTTATGCACGCTGGATGGTTTGCTACAATAATCGTAAAACTCATGGAAATTGTACTGCTGATAGATTTCTCAAAATATGTCAATGTTTTTATTGTGGAAAGGATTCAATTCTCTCAAACAAATTCAACATTTTTATACTTAATTTTAACTTTACTAACTGCATTACTCTATACTCTATCACTGGGTTTCACTGTTTATTTCTTTATCATGTATAGCTCACAAAGCAGTTGCCATTTCCATTCAATGTTTTTAGTTCTCATTGTTGTCCTGTGTGTTATTGCATCATTGCTATCTGCTCATCCGAATATAACAGATGCAGGGCTTCTACAATCAGGCATTATAACTCTATATACAATATATCAAGCTTGGTTGGCATTGATTCATAGTCCAGACTCTAATTGTGGTCAATCAAACTCACCTGTGATTCAATCAGATAAGGAATTTGATTTTGTCATTAAACCATCCATGTTTGTGGATGTTATTCTTGTCTTTACTCTCCTATTTTATGGTATTCAAAGAGTCAAAGATCTTGATGTTTTCCTAACTTCMTTGCATTTAAAGAACTGTTGCCGACTCCACCAAGAGGAAGATGACATTAGCGACGTTAACGAGCAAGCATTGCTATCCTCAAGTTATCTATCATACTACATGTGCATRCTCACAGTTATACTCCACATTCTGATGGTATTTAGTGATTATTATACACCAGAGGGTATCCTTGGCACTGAGAATTCAATATTAGAGACACCAGATGGGATTGTAGACATGCATGAATACACCAAACAGTTTAGTCAGTTAATGGCCATGTCTATTCATATGACGTCAAGTATTTTGCTTGTCCTGTTGAACATGTGGACAATAGTTGCTCCTTTATTAACAGCACACTGAAACAACATGATTTATAAAATTGTTTTTTAATTGATATAAGAGATTAAAGTCGTCAATAACAATCWTGTCATAGCAGCTATGCTTATTGATATTAATAGTACACTGTGATTTTTTTCAAAAACAAAAGCACAAGAGGAATGGAATTGTTCAATAAATTCTTATGTCAAGTGAAGCGATCCTTTTTTCTGTTTTGCTTWGYTTTGTGTTGTTTGTGTTATGTTGCAAACTTGTGTACACTTTTTGRTTTTGATCCTCATCAACCCTTTGGCTTTCACTTAGTAAAGCACTAGCTCTTATTGCTAATTACCTATTTATTGGTTTTACTCTCTATAGATGTTGCTGAAACATGTAATCACTTGAGTTCAGTCAAATCTAACAAAGGTCTCCAGTGTTTGTCAATCCATGACGAAGCGCGACCACTTGGCAGAGAGGTTACGATTAACAATCAGATCCTTGTTCTGTTTAAGTACAGAGGGCTTATGTATGCAATGGATTCACACTGTCCTCACATGGGTAGGGACAGTTTTTCTTAACCTTTCGTAATGATAGTGATGATTTTGATGGTGATGGTGATGGTGATGGTGATAGCCGGATGATAATGATGATGATAGTGATGAAGATGACAACGATAGTGATGATGATGATGATGATGATGATGATGATGATGATGATGATGATGATAGTGATGATGATGATGATGATGATGATGATGATGATAGTGATGATGATGATGATGATGATGATGATGATGATGATAATTATGATAGTGATGATCATGATAAAAGTAAAATATTGTTTAAGATGTCATTGCATTGAATTGTTGTATTAGCTTATTTCATAATAATCTGAAAGCTGGATATGTTTCCATTTTGGTTCCTTAGGTGGCCCGTTACACCTTGGTGACATTGAGGAACTAGGCGAAGCAAACRTACCATGCATTGTTTGTCCCTGGCACCACTGGAAGTATGACATAGACAGTGGTGACATTAAATGGCCTATGCATGAGAATGTTAAAGTACCAGTATACCCTGTCAAGGTTATGGCTGATGGTTCACTGTTTGTGGGGTTTGAAAGCATCTCGTCCGACTATTTTAACTGTGCCCAGCATTTTTAAATGAGTGACGCACCTAACTATTTTAAGAATGTTGAAAACATGTTGAGTGAAACAGGAGAAGTGTGAATTGCATGAAAGATGTTTGAACTGTATTTTTAGTTGGTTTATGCACTGGAGTTGAACTTCAACACTAGCATCATGGTTTTTAGACAATCTGAAAAATACCTTCACACAGAGTAACCAACCATTACACCATTAACTCCTGCATTCATAAATTGTACTGACATTTAGGATTKTGTATCACTTCACACCATCAATATGAAGTTTTTAACATCAAGATTGATGAGCAATGTTACAATAGAAACTCTGTCCAGTTTTGTGCTAATAATTTGTACCTTTGAACACACATAATTCAGATTGTYTGAAAATCTGGTTATTTTAAGATTTTGTACTTGTAAATTATTTTTAATATATTGAGTTTGAGAGTGTTTTATTTATTTATTTCAAGTTTCAACATTTTTTTATAATTTTGAGTTTTTAATAATATTGAAAAATGAGTTATAGTTTGTAAATATTACATGTACCTAAAAAGATTGCAGCCACGATGTAATGAAACCATTAAAATACTAAACGTACACACCTCAAATATATTGTCRTTGGAAAGTGGAAACACTAAATCCATGAAAATATTAATTACTAAAAACTGTTTGTTAGACAATGGGAAACAAAGAAATTAGTATAATTTAGTAGCTATTCTGYGGTATTTTTGTTTCATGGATTTAATGCAATTCACTCTTAGACTACTGTATGAAATTAATAATAATAATAATAATGTCAACTTATTTACTGATATGGTTTGACTGCTACTAAGATATCATTCTATGGCAATGGAAATATTGTATTTTAATATCCATCTCTCTATATGTAACCCTTACTCACTATTTTACAACTTAAATTTGGGTTTATTCTATCTTAATGGATGAGATTTGATTCAACATCCAAAAATTAGAGTACTGTTATGCTGTAATCATTTCTTAAAGGGCTATGACTAACCAGCATTAAATGCAGTGTAATGATTGACTTTTCATATGTGGAAAAACAATAAAAAACATGAATATGTTGGTGTAAACATATTATYACACTTAAAAAAGCAATTTATAGACTATAATATGGATATTTTATGGCATTTGTAAAGCCATCACAATGGAGTATTCAAAATCTTGTGAAAAAAGGTGCAAGAGTAGAATGCAATGCAATGCAATCAGCTCCACTGTTACACCAAACACCTCCAACATATTCATGTAAAATTATGATATTATATTTTTTTCAATATTGATGTAAGAAAGTTATTATTTTTCAATTCACTGCCGTTGTTTGAGAGCATCAACCAACCTGCAAATGAGAGAAATTTGGTGAAAATTTGTTCATGAATGGCAGGCAAAAACTAACAACAACAACCTTGCAGAGTCTGATTGCTAAAACCACATTTGACCGCAGCTCTGATTATTATAATTACTTAAACTCACCACTCCATTGCTTCATCAAGGCCGTCCCCCTTAACAGCGGATGTCTTAAAGATAGACCACGCCCGGTTYTTTAATGCTGATAATCCTAAAGCATTCGAGACTTCTGTTGACGACAAGGCTCCTTCCATATCCTAYAGAATAACACAAATAGATTATCAAACAGGTTTAAACAGGTTATTATMAACTGGTTTACTAACTTGTTTGTTTGCAAATACTACTAGAATGGCTTTTTTGAGTTCATCCTCCTGAAAAGATAAATACACATTGAAAACGATGCATTTCCACTGTCATTCTATTATCCTCGCCAATTCAAGTCATTTCGATACACACTCGATACACCCTAAACACATAACAAGTCAATTTGATCCACATTCGATCTACCCTAGACACATAACAAGTCATTTGATCCACGTTCAATCCACCCTTACAAAGTTTCCATGCATAGACATTGCTAGCTCCAACATTAACTGTGGGGATACAGGGGGGAGGGGACAGGAGAAGCCCCAGGGGAGGATTCAAGTGACCAATAATGGATCTCTTGAGTGCAGTAATAGTGTTCTTTCCATTTGATTTTTGTCTTGGAATGTAGGCTTATACTGACACTTAAGTAAAATATTTTTTTATAAAGCAACAAAATGTAGCAACTTACTTCTAACATACTGACTAGTTCTTGTTTTGATATCCCTATTCTTTCTCTGTCGACACTGTCTACTACGTATATTATAGCATCTGTGTTTGAGTAATAACATCTCCAGTATGGTCGTATACTAGTTTGACCTGGTCGAAAAGACAACTAGGGTTAAAATGTGCAACAATTCCAGTATGGTCGAATACTAGTTTGACCTGGATGAAAAGATATCTAGGGTTAAAATAATGTGTGCTGTGACAGTTCCACAGTTCCAGTGCCCCCAAAAAGATTGATTTTACAGTGGAAAACATACATGTAGCTACATATAGAGGCTGCATAGCAAAGTCATCACGACACATGGTCTTGCAACCTTGTGATCAGACTGTGACCACTAGATGAGACTGCGTACTTTGTTCTGAAACTTTAGTCTCTCAGTCATGCTTGTAAATAGAAAACTAGTTTGCCTCCTTATTAATTAGGATTTTCAAAAGATTGTGTGGGAACAACTCACAAAATAAGCCATGGAGTGATGGCTTTAAAACTGTTTACAACATTTCAAATGTTGATCTTTCAAAGGTCTTTCAAAGGACCAACATAATATTTTGGCAATGTAATATTTTTCTGAGAAGAGTAAAATGTAATTGAAACTCACCTCCTAGATCCCATACTGTGTTTCAAATGAAAATAAATGAAAAAAAAAACAGTTAGTACAAGGTGTGAGATATTGCAGGAAATTAACAACAGACATTTACACTCACATACATAAGGATTCAGCAGTATCACAACTTATCATTAAATTGCATACCTTGAAATTTAAGATTTTTGTATGTTACTGTTTCAACGTTGAATCCTATGGCTGGAAAAATATAAAAACATAATTATGAGTCACTAAGTAGGAGAATTTAAATAAATTACAGCCTGTACTATAGCTCTTACTTGGAATTGTGGTGACAACTTCACCAACTTGAAGTCTGAAATCAACGATTAATGTTAATAAAAAAGATAAATTGCAAATTAAGATGAAACAAATAATTCATTTTTAGCTTATTGTACTTCAGATGTAAATTAAGCTTATTTCAGGCAATTTTTATCTATTATTTACATTATTTCATACAATTATAGCATACATCGTATATACTCATTCAAAAATCAACAGCAGCAATACTACTAATTGTAAAAATCACAATAATCAAGATTAGTTAACCTACAAATAAACGTAAACCTACCGGTATAGTATTGTAGTTTTCCCAGCGCCATCTAAWCCAAGAATCAAAATCCTCAGCTCTTTCTGACCAAAGAGGGAAGAAAAAAGGCTAGAAAAAAACCCTCCTATAAAATAAATACCCTTCGTTAAAGACGAACCGTTGAAGTGGTAGAAATCCAAGCAAAATGAGTCTAAAAAAGTCAATCTTACGAACCCATTTTCAGAAGTTGTAGTTTGTAAACGGAATTGACTGCGTGGCCAATGGGGAATACCGCTGACTTGTTATGATAATTTTTGTACCCATGACCACTTGCAGGCATGCCACAGGTAACCCATAATTGGTAGGAATAAAAGCCAAGCTGATGGTTGATCACCAAGGCCAGTAGTAACAATTTTCGTCATTTTTTATAGGTTTGTAAAAATATTTGTATATAATTGTTGCATTGTATTTTTCTGTCCAGCCTTATCTCTTCCTACACCAACCCCTCCACACTCAAAACTCAGGCTAGTGAAAAAAAGAAGAAATAAAAAAATGCCTATGAAGTGTGCATACTTTGTGTTCAATAGCGCACAAATCTGCTGCTGTTAAATGTTCAAGACCCCTTAAAATATAACAAGATTTTATTTTTCAATCACCCTTCTTTGCAATTTTTTAAAAGTGGGGAATAAACCAGTCCAGCCTGTGAAGTTTTTGTAAATATTTTATTGCTAACATTTGTTGTTGCTAAAATGCTATTCAATAATATCACTGGAATGCTATATAAATATACTATGTACATTAATAGCTATACATTAATATGCATTAATGATCAATATTGATAAATATTATAAATACACAACAGACATAAAATCATAATCCTGCAACTGTTAACATATAAATATGTTGCCTAAATTTGTCATTATTTTGATTATTTTTCTTGCTTTATTTGTGTGTGGGTTTTTGGTAATGAATTTGTGATGATTTTGGTGATAATTTGTAATTTGAAAATCATGTTTGGAGCTTGATACCATATTTGGCAATAAATTCCATATTTATACATGAATTCAATGTTTGAGATACCATTTTTGGTAATGGATTCCATTTTTAGAAATGAAATCAACATGAATTACATATTTGGTAGTGGATACCATTTTTGGTAATGGATTCCATATATAGAAATGAAATCAATATGAATTCCATATTTGGTAGTGGATACCATTTTTGGTAATTGATTCCATATTTAGAATGAATTCAATATGATTTCCATATTTGGTAACTGGATACCATTTTTGGTAATGGTTCATATTTGGTTGGTATAAAGCAGAGTTAGTTTCTCTTGTTTCTAATCATCGTTCCACTGTATCATTGTGGCTAATCTCAGATTTAGAGGTGCTTGACGTGCTCTTTCAACAATAAGTGACTTCTAATTTCTGTCTTCTTCAAAAATCAAGTTTCTTCATCTGTAATAAGAAAACATAAACATTGCTGAGAGGGCTGGTAACTAGAGAAGAATACTATATATGGTGATGCATGATGATGATAAGTCTCATTAACACTGTCATCATCATCAACATCATCAGAAGGTCATGTCATGCAGGCACGCTGAAATCTGTAACCTCCTACATCTCCACATGAGGAAGAGAAGTGGTGGCCATGCTCACCCATGAAATATGCGAGCCTATCGTCATTTTCAAAAGGTGCTGTGTGGCCAATGCATCAGTATTTAGCTAGGTTTTAGTGCTACCATGACATTATAATCATCATCATCAGTCATCATCATCATACCTGGAAGTACTTGATAAGGGGGAGACGTTTTCCTGGTATTGAGAGAGCGACACAAATAGCAATCTGGTAAACATTTCTGAAACTGAAGCGGGKAAAAATACAGTCAATTAAACGACAGCCATACTTGGGGTACATAAAGCTGAAGAAATGAGAAGACGACGACGAAGCACAAAAGAAGAAAAAGAAGAGAAAAGAAAAGAAAGAGAAGAGAAGAGGAAAAAAGGAGGCGGACAAAGAACCAAAAGAACAAGAAAAGCACGATCAAGAAGAAGCCAAAATGAAAACTACAACATAAAGAACTCACACTTTTCTCTTTCTGTTCCTGTCCATTACAGTCTTTTAAACCTTCCTCAAAGTGGACTCGTCTTTCGTCTTTCTTCGCTGCCTGTTTCGAGGTTTTGCAGTCCGTTTSAGGCATCGTTTGTGCRTYTATTTTTGGTTTTGTTAAGTCGTTTCCCTCTCCGAGATATTCTCCATAAATGTCCTTCCAGTGTGTAGGTGCAGTTATTTTTGAATGTCCTAAACATTGCTTTTCGCTGTAATAAGAAAAAAAAGTGCATTTCTCGTAAGTCGGCTGTTCAAGAAGCCCGAGTTAATCATTGAATGRCTGATAAAACCTGAACAACTAACAAATAGACTAAAATGAAGAAAATAATCTCATTTAATCTCTTAATACCTGGATCTTAAGCCTTCATTTGAGTTCTCGTTTTCTGAAAATCATGAAAAATATATTTAAATCAAGGGAAATAAAAGTTTTTGTCGCATGAAACTCATGTTTATACTAAAGACTGCGCGCGTGAATCTCAGGATGTTTTGGCGCCATTTTGAAAAGCTGCGTTAAAGCAAAGACAACCTTTATATTAATCAACAAAAAAGACATTTTCAGGACAAAACCTTTCAAATAAAGAAGCAATAACAACAAGAAATAATGAGTAAATGCGTTGTTTTGTTGTGGCGGTAGTTCTATGCGTTAAAAGTCTTATTGCAATAGTTTTCTTTGCCTTAAGCGAGTGCTTATGCCATCATTATCACATTTATATACTTTGATATTGTTCAAGCGGTGACGATGTCTTCTCTGCGGCAAATYGTAATCAAAACACCGCAAAAATCCTTGTATAATTCATGTATAATTCATACATAAAACAACTTTGTATCGACTTATATTTGACTGAAATAATTATGAAAAATTTAGGTTTAARTTTAATTAGAAAGTTTAATATATTATGTGTAGCTAAAGACTGATGAAACGARTGTTGCATTTTGGATATTTCAAAGTAATTCATGAAGAAAAGTGCGCGYAATTTTGCTCTTTTAAATGTCAAAAYYGCTGAGAAAGACCTARATATTAATAAATTGTGTATTTTTTATTTAGAAATGTAGAATCTTGTACTTGAGAGAGACTCACTGGAATGAAGCAAAAGAACACTTTGCATTTAGGTATTTATAAAGAAAATAATGCGTAAAGCAAAAAGACTGAAATAGATATTGCTTGAAAAGGCTTTAAGGAAGAAAACATTAGAAAATGAAGACGGATATGAGAATAAAGACGGAACGAATTGCTTCCGACGTTAAAGCACTCCGGCAGTTGTCAAACACAGACAGTGACTTCAGGATGATCTCGGTTGCTGAATACCTTATGTTTTCTCTTTATAATTTGCCGTTTTGCGTCATTGACTATTCAAACACTAATGGTCAAGCGATCAGAAATATTATCTAAGAATATGTTTTTTTTAGGAAAAACGGCCGCCAGTGGAATTGAAAGTGAATATGCCAGAGTATATGACAAATGAGTGTGTGCAATAATGGCGCTCAGCTAATGTTCAACTGATATGATTTGAAAGTTTCTTTTCAAAGTGCGCATTCAGTCAAAACATGRAATTCTGTTTTTTACTTATTATCAAACAGCCAAAGTTAATGATAGCTAACAGACAGAATCAGAAAAAAAACAACAAAAACATCTATTAGGCACAACAGACTAAGGGGAAATAAACTCCCTCTGTTGATACATAAAGGAAAAGAATGAAACGGAAATAAGGAATTATAGAAACTTGGAAAGTGAGACAAGTGGGAATTAAGTGAAGAAATGAAAAACAAAGGTCGCAAAAATGGTAGAAAAACTGAAAAATGACTAAARTTGAATATTTTTTAAAGTTCGGAGTCGAAAAGGAAACAGCACAAATAGGGCGCATAACAAATGACAAGAAGGAAGGAAATAGGAAATAGTGCAAAACGAAAAAGATATGAAGAGAGGAAAAGAATTCAAAGAAGGAAATTAAAACATTTACTGATCAAAACGAAATGACTAAAAACTAACTACATGTAATCAAAGGTAACAAATTAACTGAGAATTTYAGACAGGAAAATCGAAAACGGAAAGATAGAGAGACAGCGCTAAAGCAATGACAAACTGTGTTTCAGCAAAGCGTAACATCCTTTTCAGTCATCATCCGCACCACAAACGCGCGCGCGTAAACAAACACATTACGTAAAACTAACATAAAATACTGATGAAAACAACAGGGAAAAATCGATTATCAAGACAGAGGTAGTGGGGGTACTTTCTTAAGTAAATACTACTAAAATGTTGGAAATCTAAGACATCTTACTCAGATATGATATCAAGTGTTATCACGGTCAAACCTGATCTGATTTCTTAATTATAAAAGGCCCATGGTTAGTCATATTTCTACCGAGATAGCATCGATCGGTAATGCCTGAATCAAACGGAGTTGGGAATAAAGACAACTCCGCTAAGACATGTATCAACAAGAAATTAGGAGCTTCTGTTTCGCAATGGTCTACGTCAGTGACATCCTTATTTCAAGTTAAGCGAATTATGGATGGAATTTCCTTATCAAAAATGATGAAATGAATTTTTTTTCCCTAAAAACCGCACCTAAAAATACAACTTATATACACTGGAAATATCAAGTTTTTTAGATTTTTGAAATGTTTTGGGTATTATTGWGTCAAATAATTGGCCAGGATGGAATTTCAAGGACGTCTATGTCTTGCTGTAGGATAATACGAACCGCATTCAGGATTTTATGGTTTGTAAGCCCTGACAAAAGCAGGCCGAACTTACTCATTAACCGAGGTAGTGATGCATATGTAGTAATAGTCTACAGACGAAACASTCTCTCTTTTTACAAAGCAAAGAAATATTGAAAATTCTAATGTTTGAACAAGAGATTTCACTKTTAATTAATTCTTTTGCTGCCAATTTTGATTGGAAAACTCTGTCTGTGGCTGTGCCAAGAAAATTCGGTAAACATCACACATCAGTTGTGTTTTTCATCAAATAAACCATGCATGCATTTGGCGTTTTGAGGTGAAAAGTCCTAATCCATGGAAAAATATTTAGTTAACAAAATGAAGACACAGTTTGGTTGAGTCACAGACMTGGAAGTTATTAGTRTTTTTCAAACAGAGTTWCCCGGATAACTTCATGAATTCAATTGAATWTCACCCGAGGGCATAGRGTTGTGCTTAGTTCACACACACTTGACAACATACAGAAAGAGAAAAACCTAGTGAATTCGTTACCAATTCTCTGATATCTTGCYTCAAAAGTAACCCTCATTGTGTCAATAATGTGTGAATAACTTGCCAAAASTCATCGATAATTGAAAAGCTAGCGTTTTGTACAAAACTAATRGCTAAAAACCAAAGTATAATAGTCCTACCTTCGTTGAATACAACCGACTGGAACTTGTAAACTTTTCTGTTGACTTTTGTCCATGTTATTGAGCAGGACTCGCAAACGGATTGGTGAATCATACTGTATGGTGAACCAAGATCTAATCTTATGGCTTTGAAGATGTTGTGAAGTATTATGGCAACGTCGACTGTGAATCGGAAGTGAAGACTACAATGAAAACCGGAACAACACGCAAACTTGAAATCGATATGATTTGACATGCAGCATGACGTCATTGCTTTAATGTGTTACGTCAGTGGYATTATTATGTACCCAGCTTCACGCTGACTCATCGCTGCTGTTCGGCTAAAGTTCATTAAAGTTCTCATGTTATGAATGCATTATAACTACGAAGTGTGAACTCTTTATACGCAAATTGCAGTGACGCGATTTTCTAGAACTAAATGTTGGTTTAAACTAGACTTATTAACATGTATTAAAGCAGAGCGATGAGCAATAACACCTGGAGAACAAATCTATGAAAACCTAGGGAACTATTTTACTAACGATAAGCACAAGAATATCAATAAGACAGGCGAACATGCTCATTTTCTGCTGATTATTCTAATGCTTTGTCACGTGGGCCCCTAAGCATGATGGGAGGTTTCAGTCCTCGATCTCTCTTCATGGGTCCGCTAAACGAAACTCGTTTTATTTTATTTTTTATTTTTTATTTTTACATTATCGACTTTAAAAACTTGCCAAATATGAACAATGACAACACTAAAGCAGGCGATATTGGGGGAAGATTTTATGACTGGATATGGACGGTAAGAACTATATTTCCCATCATGCTTTGTTATACATAATGGCGTCGCTGTAGTTGGTTTTTCAGGTTTTTGCATAAAAATACATTTTTAAGACAATCCCAGTGCCTTGAATCCCAATTTCCTATATAATTCATGTCATTTAGTTCATACATATTTCGGTAGCACTTATTCATCACTGAACTGCTCTGTAGAATAGTGAAAGTTGATATGAGAATTAATTGAATAAGTGAATGAGAAATAGCTTTTCGAGTATGGATATAGCTGGAGTAGAGCACTTAGAAATATGGCAGATCACTCAAAAGACGGTTTTTACTCGGGCTTCGCTTCTTGGGTTTTGCATATCAGTGAAATAAAACTGTTTTTTCTAATAATGATCACCTAAATCGTGAAAACTTGATCAGTGTTTAGATAAACACAAAATTGTCAAAAGCTCACGTAAATATAGTAAATACACTGGTTGCTGCCACAAACGAATGATATTTATCAGTAAATAGAACACGATCGATCAAATATTCTAATCCATGAAACATTTACTGCATAGAGAGGTACTTCGAATGTTCACACGATCAAATGTTCTAATATAACGATTATCAGATAATACACTTGTATTGCTCACGATCAAATRTTCCTGATCTCAGACACGTGCATACTTACTTAATTTCAGGTATAGTTCAGTTTTTGACTGGAAAGACACTTTTAAGTACTGATCATTATTCAAGACTTTATCTTTTCGCGTATATTGTGTATCAATACTAGTAAAAACAACACAGAAAGAAATTTGATTAAGTCAGAATCGATGCCCGCTCAAATTTTAGATATATGATATCACATGATTATAATTTTCCTTAATGGCCATCATTAACAGCAGTATCAGATTGTACATAAATTGCGGTCTCGGAAAATTGTTTTGGGCACGTTTTTTCTATATATCTTTGTTGTATGCATTCATATATATTCATATACGAAAACACGTATATTTTCTGAAATATGAAGTCGTTTTGATGCCTTTTTTACTTAGCAGTTTTAGATGGCGGAAGATGTTGTGAAATTCGAACGCGACATTAAGATGTCGAGTCATTTCTCGTAAGTCAGATGAACATATTATACTACTTTACTCAGTAATGTCAGAAGTCTTGGATGATGTTATTATAATAATTCATAAATGCGGCGTACACGTATTATCTTTTCCAGTTAAGAGGCTCAATCTATAACACTTTCTCGGAAGTTTCAACAGATTTCTGACGCACACTTTAGTTCGTTTGAGATGATGAAATGGATTATGACATCATGATCGGCTTAATAGTGCACTTTAGTGTGAACATGTACGCTAAATATTCTAAAGTTCTTTCAACAACTTATTGCCTTTGGGGAATGAGCTGATGCAGATCTATCTAACCAGAAGTTGTATGTCACGTGATGAATGGATTAGATGGTGGACGGGGAAGCACGAATGAAAACATTGATAGATTGCAGATGAGATTTGGATGAATACAAAAATGGGATGAATGGATGAACGAATACTGACTTGACTTATAAGTAGATGAATAAAGGCCTAAAGGAGCGGAAATAAATGCAAGTCAATGAATAAACTATGAGATGGATAGATTAATGGTCAAATGGTAAAAATGATCGAATTGTTGGATGGAAAGGTCAATGATAAACAGTATCACCTAATGTTAACGTTATTTTTCTATAATCACAAGTCAATATATGAATCTGCGTCAGTAATTGACCAAGTTACAAAAATCTACATCAATGACTCGTCTAATGTCGTGAAATATTCACTAATAAGACAGAATGGATAAAATGTGCTGGAATTGATACACTGAACGACGAGTATATATACGATATGTAGATGGACGAGTTGATTTGCAAACGGAACATCATTGAAACAATACCACAAACGCAGCATTAAAAAAAGGAAAAATTTTGAATTAAAAACAACGTTCATCGTGAAATAAACTTCAAGTGTCGAAAGGATAGTAAAAGAAGAGTAAAAGCATACGTACCTTTTCAGCCTTTTCGCGGCTGTATAGTTTTGATATCTCGCCAGCCCCTGGGTCTATTAACCTTATGTTTTAGTATAGATTGTTTTGAAATACTTTAGGACATGCGTATAAGCCTGGCTGAGTACTACTTATGGCTGCTTTCCATGTGGATTCAATGGTTTTGACGTAGGTTCTTTTTCTCTTCGCGTGTTAGAAATCCAATTATCACCTGCTACTAGTAAGSCGTTTTGGTTGTCTTTGTGTAAACATGTCGTTGATTTGAGTGRCACTTTTGGCAGTCRTAAGTGACTTCCTTAATGACAACCGATCACGAATGTCATGATGACATTAAGATTAATTATATAGTGTCMCCGCAGAAACATRAAATGTTTATTCACCTAAAYTCATTTATTTATTCATTWYTCTACTTACTCATTCACTCGTTTATGCTATCTTATTATCTATTTATCTATTCATTTGGATTCATTCACGTTGTCCTCCATTTTATTCGCTTTATATTCATCCATTTATGTATTTACCTGGATTTCATCTACCGATTCATTTATGCCCATCCAATAATTTATTTATCTATTCATTTATACCATCCAATAATTTATTTATCTATTCATTTATACCCATCCAATAATTTATAGTATCTATTCATTTATACCCATCCAATAATTTATTTATCTATCGTCATTTTTGCCCATCCAATAATTTATTTATCTATTCATTTATGCCCATCCAGTAATTTATTTATCTATTCATTTATGCCATCCAATAATTCATCGATCTATTCATTTCGATTCATTTTCCATTCAAGTTATCCATTCATTTATAAAGAGCTGTGGCTTTGCTTTAACGGAGGCGTGACATCATGATACGGTAATTTCCGCATCATCACGCGTTAACGTTATCTTACGCAAACTATGCGTGGGATAGCTATCACCTTACTGACATAAACTAACACTTTTACGCAAATAGGACTACGCAGTCATAGCGTAAATTAAGAAATCTTACGTAAAATGATGGCTAGATATTCTATTTAAACAATTAAATTAAATGGTGTGCGTGTATACTTGCCTACGCAGGCATAGCGTATATTGGGGAACGAAAAGACTTAAATTACTAGGTGGAATTAAAGTAGGGGTGAAATTCCCTGCTCCTTCTACGAAGAAAAGGAAGAAGGRGCTGAAAAAAAATCCTAGTGCTCGCAGGGTAAGGTGAAATTKTTTCAGTAGCGATATATCACGATTGATAAAACTAAACTGCACTTTTATCATTCCTATAAACCGTAAAAATAAAATCCGTGCATTCTTTGCGTAACATTGTCTCGTCGCGTGTGTCATTCAGGATCCTCTCAGACCTTTTAACTAAAACTTATGAAAAACACACACAAACGAATGATAATGGACTCGTGGACAAAGTATACAGCTCGTGTCTTACAAAACCTCAACACTTCAAGCACTTCATTTTCAGCCTGGGGAAGCTCTTGAGCTCTTCATTTGGACTTATGTTGCAATGTTAAATGACGGTTTACTTTTTTCCGTCATCCCTCAGGCGATTATGTACTTATCAAGAGTAGAGGAAACTGAAAAAAAAATCCACGCCCTAGGTGTCATTTCCCCTCCTCRAACCTCCTTTTCCCTCCATGCTAGTTATAGGACCAGACATGAAATCCATAGTTAATTATTACCAAAATCTTGGTTCTTTTTGAGCGATTTCGTGAGCTATAGTTCATCGAAACCCATTTTCATCATTGCGTCACACTGCCTAGACCAAAYCGTTTTGCCCGCTTTCTTTCAATGTTATCAGCATTGTTTTTACGTGTGTTTTAGAACCAAAAGAATTGTATAAAGTATGAAAAAAAATGAAAATCCGTCAAGAATCGTGCTTTTGGTATGCAGTTCGAGAGGATAAACTCTTTCTGGGTTGCCTGTGCTTTTTAATCCACTGTACTATCAAACTGCGGGCTCATTTCTGATTTCAACAACAACACGAACATTTTTGTAAAAGTTTTTTGATTTCTTCTCATTTGAACAATGGTTGATCCTACTTGAATCAATCCTARTAGAAAGATATGGGTCAGAGCTATAGCTTTGCATCGAAAATATTACAAGACCAYGCTCTTGTGTTACGAGATTTRGCAATTCTTAGTCATGGTGGACTTCTAGGTACGTGAGGGAAGTTAACATGTGTTTTTCAATGTTGTTTATCTTATGATKTTTTTACTTCATTGAGATGTGAAATGGCCATTACATGCTGGCATATTTACGAAGCATTAGCTTAACCTTATTCTAACGGGCTGAGTTAAGAGTTTGTGTTTGTTTTCTGTCATTTTGCCCTTGAATACCGCGATATTTACTTACGTCAAGATTACATTAGTTGCTAAAAATAGCATTCGTTGTAAGCTTTTGTTGATGAARTATAATTTAAAAACTTTACGATTTTTCCTTTCAGATACAGTGAAACACATAAACAAAATGTAAGTGTAAAAACAGCTATGAATAAATAATAAATCAAAATGAATTGGTGTACAAACTTCAAATAGTGACAGTGTACAAAAAAATTAATTTGAATCAAATCTCGTTTGAAAGCAAGTTTCTAGTTTAGTTTACTAACTCTGGTTTAGTTTAGTTTAGCTAGTACGTCAATTGCTATCACCTGGAATAAAATTCAATTATTTATTAACTTTTACATGTGTTATTAAACTCAAYTCTTTAAGCATATTTTTCTTTTCATTTCTAGACCAGATTTTGTTAAGCGTGCAAAAACTGTAAATTATAATTCCAACAGTTGAGTTTAGTGATCTTTTTTACACTGTGCTAGCCTGAATTGTATGTAAAATGTTCAGGAATCTAGGTAAAACTTGTGAGATTTTGAACTATTTTCAATGTCTTCAATACTAACAGATGTCTTGCCTATACACGGGCTGTTGCTAAATAAAATTAATATATTGCATTGTTTTGATGTTAATGTGGTGTAAGAGAGATTGCTAAAAGGGTTTGTGTCTATTATACACAGATTAGACAACTTTTCTGGTGATAGTGTCCACCAGATATTGTTTGCAGTTAAAGAATTATCAGATGAAAACTACTTATGGAAAGCTACAGTCCGGATCTATTGTTATAAAGTTAGTTGAAAATACAATAACAATTATTACAGAAAGAAACTGGGGAAAGATACCTTAATTTTCGTTTGGGGAGTTTGCAGGGGTTTTTAGTTGGTTTGAGTTTTTTAGGGTAAAATGAGACAGTTATTTGCACTCTTGATAATTATTGGCTTGATTTGAAGCAGGCGATTGACTGCAAAATTGCATTAGTCTCATTTTGTATTAAATCTAAACAAACTCTTAGAMTGTTAAAAAATGTGATTTGGCCATGTAAAACTCATTTCAAAGACTTTGTTTGCCAAGAAAGGGGGGGGGGGGGGGTTGGACTCCCTGGACCCTCATTGCTCATTTACTTGTTTTGTTTTCTATTTTGCTGCTCTGTTCTTGACAGATTGAAAAATCAAGTGGGCTGGTAAAAACTAGGAAAGTGCTWGACCTGAGACAGTTTTGTAAGGTTTACAGAGATGTCCTCCGTCAAGTACGATGTACAAAATGTATCGGTGATAGYGAAGAATGGGAACAAGTGGATGAAAATGGAGAGGTAGGAATGAGATATTTTTCATTTTTTTGTTTGTTTGTTTCATCTCCTGTGGTTCAAGGGAGGGGGAATGGGGGAAAGAAGCGAGTGTGTCTCCCCATTCTCACTCTGCCTCTTCTTCCAAAGAGCCTAGGGAGGGGGAATGGGGAAAAGAACCGAGTGCGTCTCCCCATTCTCACTCTGCCTCCTCTTTCAAAGGACCTAGTACTCAGGCTATAACAATGAACTTGACATTGAAGATGATCAAATATCATGTGTTATCCATCTCATTCTTCAGGCATATGATAAAATCAATCTAGAGCAAGCAAGAGAAGCCTTGACAGTATCAATGATCATTACCAGGTCTGCTAACATGTTAAGGCACAGGGAGCCCACATTTATTAGCCACAACTGTAAAACAACCTCCAGTTTCTGCTTATTGGACATTCAAGGTCTTACTGGATTGGCTAGAATTCAAACTTGACGTTAATTTGACAAGCCCTAAGCTGAGACGGTTTACAAGACCCTGCCGAGCAGAAAAAAAACATTGACATAGGGTATTTCTGCTTGAACTGGCACAGGCGATATGCATTGAAGATTTTATTTCATAGAGTTGTGATTGATAAATGTGGGCTCCCTGTGGCTAAGGCTACTGTTATGCCGTGTGTTTAGATTACCATTATCATTACTGTGTTGCATTGTGGGTTGTTTACGATAGACACTCCATTTATGTATGATACACGTGTATAGTCCATATCACAAGCCCACCATTTTGAATGGTTTTGCAATGTATCATGGGATATATATCTCCCTTTCTTCATCAAAACAAATTACCAAAATCGTAAAAACACTAATTAGTTTCGATTTTTCCACAGACAAAATATGTTTGTTTTCATTTTTGCTTGATTTGCCTAGTAAATGTACATTCTTGATTAACTGTACATTTTTTGTAGGTTTTTCTTGCTGTGTTTCCTTGCATGTTGATATTTGTTTGTTTTTTCGCTTCTGAGATTAACTACAATATCAATATTTCCCAATATTTTTCAAAAACTGAGTCTGCATCACAGACAACTGGAGCACTGACATCGTTGTTCGTTGTTTACTCATTTATCAATCCCAAAATGCACTGCGTCACAAGGCTTTCCGCGGGTTGCAATATGGACTATGATAAGAGTGCTGTTCTTTAAGACCTGTTAAAATGGCTACCATACAAGTACAGAGTTTTTTAACTTGTTGATATCATGTTTATAGGGTTGACGAGGCCATGAAAAAACAAGATGATGAAATAGAAGAGTGTTGTATATGTCTTGAACGGCAATCTGATGTCATATTAGCCTGTGTGCATTGCTTCTGCAAAGTGTGCATTGAAAAATGGTAATGTTTGTCTTATGCATTATTTCATCCCCATGTCCCTCTGTCACTCTATTTCTTCTATTCTTCCTTCATCCATTATCTCTCTCTTTCCTTCATTCTTTCATCCCTGCCTCCTCCGTCCTTCTCTGTTTATCCCTATCCATCCCTTCCCTCCCTCTTTTTCTCCCTTCTTTATTTCTTTTCCCCTTCATCTTTTCCTGCTGTCCTCCACATTTCTTTCTTCCTTCCTTCCATTCTTCCTCCCTAAGTCCCTTCATCCCCCTCAATCCCTCCCTTTCTTTCATCCCTCCTTCCTTCATCATTGATCTATCATTTATGATATGACTGTATCTTGATATTCATGTTTTGTATTCAGGAGTGATTCTCATGGCACTTGCCCAGTCTGTCGCGTTGAAGTCAARACAGATGATTCATGGGAAATTCCTGAGATGCCAAGTAAAGGAGAGATAGCTAGTTACGTGATGGACCTTGCCGAGGGAGCTGGCTCTAGTACTTCTAATTAATGTATAAATGTATTAAATGGTATTAAACATTTTACTATATCTCAAACTGTCTGATCGACATGGATACTATTCCGTGAGTTTTGCGAGTTTTATAAAAAGATGCTTCTCGC